GCTGGCTTGAGGGTGGGGCTAAACAATGGCTCCGCCCTCCGACAAAAGGACGGGAAACGCAGAGGAGGGGCCCTCCTCCCCTCCCATTTACCAGGAAGCGAGCTGGGTTCTTGGGTACGGATAGCCTGGCGATTACCCACCCACCATGGTATTTTCAGTCACTATATCATATGCACGTTGGGTAATAGATACGGGTGACCGAAGAATAATTCATGCCTTTGAATTATGGTGTTGGTGAAAAATACTGAAAATACCACGGACTGCCAGAACAAACAAATCTGTCCTGGAAAACGTATAGCCAGGATGTCCCTTAGAAACAACAGTGTAGGGAGCCTTTGTCTCGTGTGCTTTGGACAGGTTCTCAGAAAAGACCAGTCTCTGGAGAGAGACATCATGTTAGGTAAAGTTGAGGGCCAATGAATAAAAAAAGGCCCTTCCAACAAGTGAATTGACAGTGGCTTCAACAGTAGGCTCAAATAAAACAACAACTGTGAGGATGGGCAGTGTGTCGAGCTGTTGTGTACAGGGACATTTTGAGTGGAAACCAAGTCAACATCTAAATATATACTCTGTACCCCAAACTGAACTTTTCACCTTCTTCTAATACACCTGACAGCATGACCCCTACATGCGATTCTATTTCTACTTACAGAACCCCAAATCCAAATTCTCTAGTGATAATTTTTTAGGGAGGAGGGAGAAACTTGCCACTCTTAGTAGTTAAGAGCAGGCCTGGAGACAGATGGTCTCTCCCAAGCCCCTGCTCTATCAGCTACCAGCTACTTGCCTTATGCATCTCTACAGTGGCCTTAGTGTTTCTGTCTGTGGTATGGTCCTAGTAAAAGTGCTCCCTTCTAGATGAAAATCAAAAACATAGATGATACATCACCTTAAACCTGCAACAACAGCCCAATTCAGAAGAAAAAAAAAGGCAAACAACACATGCTAGGAGGGTGTGGAAAGACTGGAACTCTTATACACTGTTGATGGGCCTACAAACGCATATAAGCATTGTGGAAAGTGATATGACACTACCTAGAACAGATGGAAACGAAGTACCAGAAGACCCAGCCATACTCTGCTGGGCATATACTCCAAAGACGAGATAGAACACGGACAGATGTGTGCTCTCCCATGTTCACTGCAGCACAGTTCACAAAAGCAAGAAGCTGGAAACAGCCCAAATGTCCATGCATAGAAGAATGGGAAAAGAAACTACGGTACATACACATAACAGAATCCTATGCATCCCGAAAAAACAGCGGTGAAGCCACAACACACGACACGAGGAACCTGGAAAACACTATGCTGAGTGAAGTCACTCAGTCACAAAGGAACAAGTATTGTCCGAGCCCACTACTATCAGGCTAAACACCAAGATGAAGGCTGGCTCCTGCTCTCAGGTCCTATGGCTTACTAATCCATTCTTCCAAGCAACAAGGTGGTGATCCTGTCTGGTGTCCATGAACCATTTATCACCACCTTTATTTGTACAGAATGATGAGGGCAATGAATGTGCAAATATGCTTTACACAATTGATGTGTGTATGGATGGTGATAAGAGTTGTATGAGCCCCTAATAAAATGCTTAAAAAATAAATAAATAAATACATGTCATTATATTAAAAAAAGTCACTTTGAACATCTCAGCTGGGATCAGTTTCTCAAGGTGGGGAAGAAGGAGAAGACCCATCGGTTGCTGCCATACAATATGGTCCTACGGTCACCCCAAATCAACAAACACTTCTACAAGAGTGATTAGTGAGCCCCACTAGAGATTCAAGTCAAGAGAGGGGTGGAGGGGGGCAGGGAAATCGGGACATGACCTGTCTGATTCTGAAAAGGCAATTACACGCCTATTGGTGGGTAAACTGGGTGCAGCAACCTGTCATCAGGAGGAAAAAAAACCTCTTGTGAGTCTTTCTGTAGAACCCAAGGGGAGAAACACCTGGTGCTATGGTCCTGATTGGACACGTTTGACCTAGTTTCTAGTCAGCCTTTGGCAATGTAGGCTTGATGCTGTAGACTCCTAGGACTGTAGCCTCTGTCCTTCTGAGGCACACAACATCCTTCATAAGGCCACCCCAGAAGGATTCCATCTGGAAACTGCACTAAGTGACCTGGGCTTTACGTTAAACTCACCTGTATCAGATTTAAAGTTGATGACCACTAGCCCAAGATTATAGAATTGGTAGTCCTTGGACTTCGGTGAAGACCTCTTGCTTTGAGGGTGCCCAATGAATGGTAGCCTGGGACAATCATAAATTTACTATTTTAATGCTCTCTTTGCTTTTTTTTATGACATTAGTCTGTCAGGCATGATTCTGCTTTTATGAATGAGTGCTAGTGAAAGTGTTGGCTTATCCTCAGTCCTCATTGTTCATGCATATAAGTATCCACTCACTTAAGCTTTTAACATGTACAACTCAATGGAAATCCAACCTATACATATATCATTTCCTTTTCTCAACGGTGTTTTATATTCTATATCATTGGCTAAATTGATACTATCAGTAGACTTACCTTATGCCCCAAGAGGATAATTTATAATGTTCTCTATCATAAAATGATAATGATGTCTCTGAAGTGAACCAGAGTAGATTTTGAGCTTGCACAGAATTATAGCCCTAATCTAAGAACAATAAGTATTTATGACATGGCCCTACTCTACACTCACCCTCATGAAGAGATCACTTAAGTTATGGGTGCTACAACAAAGTGTGGTAAAGAAACCAGATGGTGCCAAGCTATCAGAAAGAATATTGTCTGGGATCTTAAAGGTTGGCCTTAAAACAAGCAGCTATCTAAGTGAGGCATCAACTAAGACCACATGGAAGAAGTACACCAGCCTGTGTGATCCAAGGATTGTAACTAATAAAATCCAAATCTGCTCTCAGAGTTTCTCAGATCTGCTGGCAACCCTGGGCTTGCCTTTGCTCGTAGACAACCTTCACGTGACGTCTGTCTTCTCCCTGCGTGTCTCTTTATAAGACATCTGTGGTGACATGGGTCTCTTGCTGTG